GATAGATAGATAGATAGATAGATAGATTAGATAGATAGATAGATAGATAGATAGATAGATGGATAGATGATAGATGGTTTTTCCGTTTTTGAAATTCTCTTAGTTCCATAGGAACTGATAATTTCATATATATGATATTTATCAATGCCAGAAAATGATGTGAGTTCGTGATCCGGACAAGGCTTGTATGATTTGATCTGCATGGTCTAATTTGTGATATTTTGGCTCCGTGAAAGTAAATAAATTCTCTTTTTGGGAACATAACATGAAATTATGGTATTCTGAATTTTTATCTCTAACTGGAACTGTCTCTAATGAAAGTGATACATATTACCCCATTTTCATTACTTCTTACGTGTTGACTAGTTTACTGTTGGACTATTGTTTCTGCTCCGCTGCTCGTCCGGTTCAAGTTGCTACGGTGCAATGCTCAGCACAGACGACACCGGCACAACTACTCGAGAAGCTATCCCAGCTCTGTATCACCGTGACCAGTAGCAGTGCTAATACCAGTGGTGGACGTGTTCTTAGGCCACGAGAAGGTGAACGGTTAATTCTTTACTTGAGAGATTTGAATCTGCCCAAACCGGATAAATGGGGCTCCTGCCAACTGACCGCATTCTTACAGCAGGTTAGAAACCGTATGTGCGATTTAAAAATATTCCCTGACTGATATTTGATGTTTTTAACATGTTTGTGCGGAAACGGATTGGTTCTATTTGACGACCACGTACCATTAGTCCATATGAGATCATAGAATGTAATCTGTTGCGTACAGCGCGAAGCAATCGTAAGGAGAAAAGCTAGGAAACATTTCACAGTTGTTTGCACCCTACTGAATATCGGTAGCAGTGTGAACTCTCTTAGGAGTGCAAGTGTGCTATACATTTGAACATCGGGTAACTGATCAGAGTGTTTCATTTTGTTAATACACAACATGGCACAATCTGTCTTTGTTAAATTGGTTCGAGTAATTAACCTCTTTTCTCTTAATACGAGCTTCCAAGGTATCATTATTCAATCAGGATAAAATTCTAAAAGCATCAACTGGATGTCGAAATCAGCTGCGTGCAAGTGAATGAATTACGTGAAGTGCCATATTGCTATTCAGCTTATAGTCGATTCCGGTGAGTGGCTAATGTGGAAGTAGATATCGAAGTTCTATGTGAAATTTGCTTTCAGTTCGTTTATGAACCCAGCACATTACTTGCCGTAATACAAAAAACACTAACTTAATAAACCGATTGCACGTTCCTCGTGTTTGAGCTGCGGACGTCCGCCATTCATGAGTACCTTATAGATTTGTAGACCATAAAGGGTTTGAAGTCCCTACTCGAAGATTCACGGGTCGAGTCCTGACGAGTCCCAAAAGGACAAAACAGTTCTCCAGTGCTCTTTTTCGGTCACCACAAAAATTTCCATCACATTTCAAATATAATTTAAGGCATTTTCAAATGATTGCTTCATCTGATGCTTCACATATTCCCAGATTTGTTTTAAAAATTTCAACCCAGTTTTATGTGAAATCCTGTTGGCGTGTTCTGTAAAACTTTGCCGTTATGATTACCAGTTTTGCTATTAAATGGTTCTGCTGTTTATAGTTTTTTCCACATTAAGCTGTTTTTCGATCAACATTAAGTACCTACCTCATGGTCTCTTTTCAGCTGCTCACTTATCACGGATACTACGATCCCAGCAGTTTAGAATTTGTTGGTATCGAAGGCATTCAGTTCGTAGGCAGCTTCACTCCAGCTACAACTTCCGCCGGACTGGGACGATATCACCTTTCCGCACGATTTACCTCTGCGCTGCGGTTGGCTGTTATTAATTATCCTGATAGGGAGCAACTGATTGCTATTTATTCCATACTACTTCAGGCTGTTGTGTTCTCAGCTGCTTGCCGCATAAGTCCAATGGAATCATCGGGGAAACGGTTCGATCGCAGTTCCAAATCGACTGATGCTAACATGCCACTGATTTCCGCTTCCAGGCTACATGTTATGGCCACAATCATGGTGGATCTCTTGAGCGCAGTCCAACAGAATTTTCGTGCAGATGAACATGCCCATTGTGTGTTCACACCGCATGTGCTCACCGCATGGACTGCTGCATTATGGCGTTACGATCAATTGCGTGGTAATGATGCAAACGCAGTCTGGGCCATCTTTGGCTATGAGGCTCGTCGACTGTTTCGAGACCGGGTTCCAGGAGAGCGATCACGAGGCAAATTCGACACACTGTTCACTGGTCTTTTGTACAATCATCTGACGGGATCGGATGCGAATCCAACGGAGGTAAATAGATCGCGTTCGGACAGAAAATATCACAACGGTCCTTCGGCAAATCTTCAGCTTGCATTGAAGTTTGCTACCGGTGAAATAGATGAGGATTGGGAAGATGAAGGTGGCAACACTCCCTTGGAGGATCAGGGAAAGGCCAAAAATGCTCTCATGGAAAATGGAGATTTGATTCATTCTATGGGTTGGTTTACGACTTGGGGTGCGGTGGATCCTGTACCTGCCGGATGTCCNTTGCATGGTCGGCCTTTAGGATTTTCCAATTCTGAGCAAACTCGAGATACCATACAACGGGGAATTATTCAGCTATCCAGAGAACACTGTCCAAGATCAGCCGACTGGGTCTTGTTTCCCGAGTTCCTCGATCTTGTGTGCCGTCTGGATAGAGCAATTAGTCGTCCTGCTGGTTCCGTGTTGCTTGCAGGTCGAGCTGGAATCGGAAGGCGGTCAGCTCTGACACTGGTTGCTCATTTACATCAACTGCATGTGTGTCATTTGCGAGTGGGGCGAGATTATGGCATGCGGCAGTTTACAACGGACANCAAAGCGGCTTGCCAAACAGCCGGTTTGGAAGACAAGCCAACTTTGCTGTGCATTGAGGATCAACAAATCACTCAAGAAGGAATACTAGAAATCATCAACAGTCTTTTAGCCAGTGGTGAAGCTTTGGGTATCATGGGAAGCGAGGAGCTTGATGCACTTGCCTCCACTGTCACACCATCTAGTGGGATCAGTTTGCGTGAGGCTGCGGCAGATGCTGGACATCGGGGACCGTTGACCTCATTTTTCGCAAGTCGAGTGCGGGCCAATCTTCACATTGCCTTGGTCTTAGACACCGATGATCATGAACGGTTTACCAGCTGGCTTCGAGCGAATCCGTCATTTTATAAACATTGTGCTACACAGTGGTTAGATAGATGGACCCAACGCACACTACTTCAGCTCCCTGGTTTGATCATACCGAGTCTGAACTCTCACAGAGAACCCTCAAACTTTGTTCAAGGATTTGCTGTGTGTCATACCAACGCTCCCCATAGCCAACTTGCCACTCCACGACGTTATTGGGCTTTATGCGCCGCTCGAATTGAAAAGACTCATCGTGTCCAGCTCGAGGCTCAAATCTCCCGACTCCAGGCCGGGTTGACCAAACTGCGAGAAGCCCGTGAACGTGTGAGCCAGCTGAAGAAATGCGCAGCGGATCAAGGTATTCAGCTGACAGAAAAACAAACAGCCGCAGACAAGGCGTTGGAACAGATTAGTGCAGCCATGCAAGTAAGTGATTTCCCATGTGTATACATGCACCTTCTCTTTCACAGTTTGACTTAACGATCGCGAAAGTATTCTGAGTGTCTTATGACGTTATCTTTTACTGTTTTCATGCATCAACCCACCGATTGCTTTTCTCTTAAAAATAGTGTCATTTCCTATTTCCGTGTTTGGGTTTACTCTCCATTAAAATTCATCATGAAATAACATGATAATTTGGTTTTTATCATACACTTTAGGGTGAAGATGAAACTGGGAGGCACGCGAGAGCGTCCATTCACTCACTTTCTACGGATTCTATACACTGATCTTAAATAAACGAAAAAAACAAAAAGATCAACACATGGCTGGGCAAGGGTGATAGTCAATCAGACTGAAACCAAACCTAACCATGAACCTTGGCGTTGATGTAGTTAGTTCATGCATTTGTTCCATCGCCGCTCACATGTTGCCTATTTCTCTCGCTCGGCACACATTATTGTCTATGTGATAGCTTCATGNAGGATTTGATTCGACCACATGGTCAGTTTCACCGTATGCAGAGCCAGTGAAGTATGGACTGAACAACTTAGAAGCACTGTACGGCTGTTTTTACCTGGTCGGTTCGGTGTTTTCCTGTGTTGAACGAAGCAAGGAAATAAGAAAACTTCTTTCGTCGTCTGTTTTTCAGACTTTATATCTGTACATTCCATAAACCCATGTCTTTTGTGTTCTGGATTTGTTAGATCACTTCCACTTTTTAGGTGAAAATTCTTGAAAAAGAATACTTCAAAGCAGAATGTAAGAGGAATATCAATTATGCTTGTATGTTATCTTTTCTACTCAGGGTGCGGCACAACAACGTACCGAGATGGAAATGTTGCGTACACGTGTCTCCCAAGAATCAAAGAATCTGGAACGGCGAAAAGCAGCTATCGATTCCGAACTGGCTGAGATCGAACCCCTCGTACAACAAGCTCGTGCAGCTGTAGGAAGTATCAAACCAGAAGCCTTGTCAGAAATTCGTGCTTTACGGGCCCCACCAGATGCGATTCGTGATATTCTTGAGGGGGTACTTTTGCTTATGGGAATCCGGGACACGTCTTGGGTCAGTATGCGTGGATTCCTGGCCAAACGCGGGGTACAAGAAGAGATATTGAACTTCGATGCACGAAAAATCAGTCCGGAGCTTCGTTCAAGTGTTGAACGACTGTTAGCCAAAAATGAAGATTCATTCGATCCAAAGGTAAAAATATGATAACGTTTTGGTTTTGGTTTTCTGCACGAGAGATTTCATTATCTTTTGGTTTCTAAAGACGTTATTCCAAAGAGGGTTTTCATGCCTCTAGTATGGCACAAACCCGAATAGTTGAATGTTACTACGTATGCAATAGTCATGACGGTTTTACCTCCTCCCTTCATATCGACGGATAAGTAAATTCCTTAATTGTATTTATATGTACTTAGATCGCCAGGAGGGCGTCCGTGGCGGCTGCCCCACTCGCCACATGGGTCCGTGCAAATGTACAGTATGCGGTAGTCTTGGAACGTATTGCTCCACTTGAGGCTGAACAAGCTCAACTTCGCAGTTCTCTTGCTCAAACCGAATTCGCATTGACCCGATTGGCCGAGGATTTGGCCGGAGTGGACTCAAAGGTGGCTCAATTGCGCACCGTTTTTGAGCAACACACCTCGGAAGCTACTCGGCTCAAAGTAGAACTGGACAAAGCCAAAGAGACCCTGACTTCTGCTGAAGCCTTAGTTGGTGAACTGGAGGGCGAGCATGCTCGTTGGAAAAACCAGGTTTGTTCCAGTTCCATCCCCTGTTATTAATATTATTGTTGTGGCGTTGGCCCCATGCTTGCCCGCAAGCAGAGAACTTTTTTTCTGAGAACTTTGTGGAATACGGATTTAAGTTTGTAGGTTATACACCTAACAGCGTTATATATAGTTTCCAAATCGCAATGTAATATATGCTCCGCTGGCAATTTTATCTTGAAGCTTATGGTAACTAGTTTGTGCTGCGTCACAAAGTGATTAGCATTCATCTCATTGAAATGACTTCTCGGTAGGATTTTCCTTATCCAACCCGAATAATAATTTTCATTGTCATATATCAAGGAACAGTTCAATATCTAACCCAGAAATCTTTCCGTTTCCAGCTGTTTTTCCCCACTATCAATGTTGATAAATTTTGAGATCAAAAAGTTAAATTATTGTCATTGAATTTTCAATAAAAAAATAAACCAATGCTTCCAAGCTTTGCATTTAGTGGGACGTTGGTACCAAAATATAAGGATACGTGTGTTCAAAATGATTCTGGTATTTTCCTCCGGCAAACGAGGGGTCGTTCCCATGGCGTATGTCGTCATGTTATTTTGAGTCTTACTGCTGTTGTGAGTAGTATGTTTGGATTGCGCAAAAGGACGTGATTGGCGAAGGTCCATAATGAACAATCTCTTTCAGAGCGAATTACTGTGCTCAAAATGGCAACTACGGAAATTGCTCATCTTTCATCCTACCGTTTCATTGTTTATCCTGTGTAATTGTTGGACCTCTGAAGACTTGTTCCAAATGATATCTTGTTGTTTATATGTCAATTTACCTAAAATCTTACCGTTATTCGTACTAAACAAATTCCCTCCTCCGGGCCCCTCCTTGTGAAATTATAACACTACCTCGTATTGTCTGCTTATATGTTTCAGGTTAACGAAGTTACCTCAAAACTTAATGCCCTACCGTCATTGGCTCTCCTCTCAGCCGCGTTTATTACTTACTTGTCAGCAAGCCCCGAAGATGTTCGTCGGTACCAACTTGCAGAATGGTCTAAACAATTCACCGCTCTGGGAATGATTTTACCGGAAACTGTTCTGACCACAAACAGCTCGCCCAGTCCCGAGTCGTGTAGAATCGATATTCTGACATTCCTCACAACCGAACGGGAACTACTCGCTTGGCGTAACCAAGGTCTGCCATCTGATCGCCTGTCCGCAGAGAATGCGGTAGTGATTTTGGAGGTCAGTGAAACGTTTGCCCGATCTGGATCAGTTTATGCAAGGATTATCTAACCATCGCCACGGAAACCGTGCTAAGAAATACACTGTCTTACTCTGGTTGTGATCATTGTGAATGGAATATGAATATCAAAAAAGTAGAAACGCAAATTTGCTCCAAACTCTGATGTGATCATAAATCACATCAGCAGTGCAGTTGATGTGATAGATCCTGGTAACGATGTGTCGGTCACATAGTTGTTCAAATTTGATCCTAACGTTCCCTTGGTCAGACCAATTTATTTCCCTATCTAGGTTAAGATCAAGAATTTTCACTGTGGTATCGTCGATGATACTCGATTAAGCAATCACGGTGTATAAGTAAAAATTGTTGCTGTTTATATAGAAATCTGAGGCATCAATTAGGCTGCACATATCTTCCATCGACAAATAACCCATATACACTCGTGGGATATTCATGTTTTCTCGTTTCGGAAAGTCCCTGCGTTCATGGATAAAACGATTCCATATTAATTTTGTGACGATCAATTTAGATCGATTTTTGACAACCTTATAGTGCACGATATATACTGGGTCAATTTCCTTCACGACAACTGTGAAAACGATCGTATGTTTTAGGGATATTTTGTTTAATCATTGAACTATTTCTTATTATAAGACTCAATTGTATCCAATTTGAAAAAATACTAATCGTGTTGAATTTATCGGGGCGATAGTGATACAGACCAGGTTTTGCCACTTTTTAAATGGAAATCGCAAAAATTGGGCTATTCCATTGATAACTCTTCACTGTAAGTTCTGTGTTCTGGTTCTTTATATTTGGACGGCCTTTATTCTCATTACAAGGCATTGATATACAAGAATATGCACCGCTTCCTTTGGTTGTACGGTGTTGAGCATACTCATATTTTCGGGTGAGCTTCTGTCCCATTAACTCTTCAAATCTTCGTAGTACACGACCTGACTTAGCNGAGGGAATAAACCATGGGCAGTTCAATGACATTCACATAGATCTTGACAGTGTCACCGGAGCACGACGCAGCCAAACCACTGCTATCCTTAACACGAGACTTAACCACATTTCTCTACTTACCTCATGGATAACCTACGAACAATCATAAGGGGAAAAAATTAATGAATCAATCATTTTGTGGCTACGAGTTAGCCATTTCGGCGAGTGATTTAGAACGTATCTGGAAGGCGTTTGGAGTCTCCTCATTTCTGAACTGACATATGCACAGTTTGTTTTGTTGGTTTCCAAAGTAACGAGAAAAGTGATAACTATGAATTACAAAAGCGTTTAAGAGAGTCGATGTTGCTTTTCGTTGAGAGGGAGGTTTTCCTATTGATCTTGGCGAAAGGAAAGAGGGCAATCGGGACGGGGTCCTAAAATGTACTGGTATAGCGAAACTCAGACGAATACCAGATTGCCGTAAAACTGTTTAGTTTTGTTTTCAATTTTTATCACGCAAACTCCTCATAAATATACTGGTTTTCAAAATGCATGCACTGTTAACTTCGTATCATTTCAGTGGAGTCAAGAGCAGCCTGGCGTGAGTTTACTAGATCAAATATGTTTGCTTTCGTGTTGATTGTTATTAAAGGTGTATCGTTTTCTATCTCACCTCCCCACAAGGTTATTACCTATCCACCTTGCGTATTCAGGTTCACCTTAGATACATTTTGAGCTTATCGGTGATCAGCAATTCTTTTTGCTGTGGGTTGATGACAGTCATACTGAAGATAATTACTTCACTTATAACTTAGTTTTCGTTTGGTCCGCAGTTTTGGCATGATTTTATTCATGATCCACACATTTCTGTCAAACCATTTGTTCACATTGATTAACTGAATAACAATT